TTTATGTTGAGGTTGTAATTTGTGAGTTTATGTTGAGGTTGTAATTTGTGAGTTTATGTTGAGGTTGTAATTTGTGGGTTTATGTTGAGGTTGTAATTTGTGGGTTTATGTTGAGGTTGTAATTTGTGGGTTTATGTTGAGGTTGTAATTTGTGAGTTTATGTTGAGGTTGTAATTTGTGAGTTTATGTTGAGGTTGTAATTTGTGAGTTTGTGTTGAGGTTGTAATTTGTGGGTTTAAGTTGAGGTTGTAATTTGTGGGTTTATGTTGAGGTTGTAATTTGTGGGTTTATGTTGAGGTTGTAATTTGTGGGTTTATGTTGAGGTTGTAATTTGTGGGTTTATGTTGAGGTTGTAATTTGTGGGTTTATGTTGAGGTTGTAATTTGTGGGTTTATGTTGAGGTTGTAATTTGTGGGTTTATGTTGAGGTTGTAATTTGTGGGTTTATGTTGAGGTTGTAATTTGTGGTTTATGTTGAGGTTGTAATTTGTGGGTTTATGTTGAGGTTGTAATTTGTGGGTTTATGTTGAGGTTGTAATTTGTGGTTTATGTTGAGGTTGTAATTTGTGGGTTTATGTTGAGGTTGTAATTTGTGGTTTATGTTGAGGTTTGTAATTTGTGGGTTTATGTTGAGGTTGTAATTTGTGGGTTTATGTTGAGGTTGTAATTTGTGGTTTATGTTGAGGTTGTAATTTGTGGGTTTATGTTGAGGTTGTAATTTGTGGGTTTATGTTGAGTTGTAATTGTGGTTTATGTGAGGTTGTAATTTGTGGGTTTATGTTGAGGTTGTAATTTGTGGGTTTATGTTGAGGTTGTAATTTGTGGGTTTATGTTGAGGTTGTAATTTGTGAATTTATGTTGAGGTTGTAATTTGTGAGTTTATGTTGAGGTTGTAATTTGTGGGTTTTGTTTATAGCTATTTTGTGGCTTTTATTTTTATACTTTTATTCTTTCTTAAATTGTGATATGTATTAAATAAAACTTGAATTTCAAAATGGTATACAATACCGACAGATTGGTAAGTAAGACACATAGGCAACAGTTAGGCAGCTTTATTCCGAATATATTCGGAATAAAGCTGCCTAACTGTTGCCTATGTGTCTTACTTACTAAATAAAACTTGTATATAGTAAAGTGTCAGATGTTGCTGGATTGTTTTCTTTATATATTGTGTTATTGATGTTGTCCTTGTTCAAGTCATTTTTTAATTTTAAGTGAACAAGGGAACATGGAATGTATTCATTGGGTTGTGGGATATATTTTGGGTTGAGTGTAAGCAATAATGTGTAGGTTCCATTGTATCTGAATCCTTTTGTACTTGTGATACAATGTACAAACAGTCTGTAGGATGTGTTAAGTTTATTTAAATGTATTGTTTTGCTATTTGTTTGAGTGAATGTTTTATGCTTATCACAGTGTAGTGTTAATTGTATATGTATTATATTATTTGTACATGAAGTTTTAATAAATTAAAAAAGTACGGGGTGTTTTTTTTTTGTTGCTGTGTATTTGAGTGTGTAAGTTGATTTTGCAGGTGTTCTGTTTGAAAGGTTGTTCAAGAATGGTTTGCCTTGAGCAACCGATGGCATCAAAAGATTTTTTTTTTTAGAGCCTGGTCTTTAACAATGGTTATGTTCCTTGCTAAGAACCTTCATAACCAGGATAACAAGCACTTGGGATTCGGTTTTAAGACCCATCTTTCACTTAGATCAAGTACGTTTGCGATAACGGCCATTTAATTTACTTGTTGGTATATGATGGTTTATGCCATGCAGGAGAGGATTGCCAAATGACAGGACCTGTTTTATATGATGGTTTGATGCCAATGTGCAGGGGAGAGGTTTGTCCAGTGGACGACATGTTGTATTATGATGTTGATGCCATGTGAGGAGAGGGATTGCCAGATGACAGGTCCACTTGTCTGTATTATGATGGTTTGATGCCATTCAGGGAAGGTTGCCATGATGACAGACCATGTCTTGATTATGATGGTTTGATGCATGGCAGGAAGGATTGCCAAGATCAGCACTTTGTATTATTGGTTTGAGCCATGTGCACGAGGGTTGCCAAATGACAGGACCACTGTTTGTTTATGATTTTGATGCCATGTGCTGGGGAAGGATTGCAGATAACAGGACACAAGTCTTGTATTGTGATGGTTTGATGCCTGTGCGGAGAGGATTGCCAAGTACAGACCACTGTCTGTATTTGATGTTGATGCCATGCGGGCGAATTTGCAAGTGACAGACCTGTTTGTATTATGATGGTTTGATGCCATGTGCAGGGGAGAGGATTGCCAAGATGACAGGACCACTGTCTTGTATTATGTATTGGCGATTGGTGTTTTATTTTAAAATTTACTTTTATGACATGTGTTCCTTTGTAACCCTATGTATTAATATTAATTTTTTTGTTGCACTGTATACATTGGACTTTGGGGACTTTTGTATTATGCACCTTCAATAAAACCCGATCTTGGAAACCAAGGACAAACGGGGGGGGGGAGGGTTTTTTTTCCTGGCATATTTCATAATTTCAGTGTGAAGGTACTGCACTAGATTTTGTTTGCCATGGCAGTGCAATGTTACCCTTCAGTTACATGTTTTAAGTTTATAGATGGAGGAGAGTGGCTATATAGCACCAGAGAATTGTTTTTTTTTAATTATGTGAGTTAAAGTTGCTTGTGTATACTCATTAACATCTGCTGGTTGTTAACTGAAGTAAGAATTTAATTGTAGGTATATGTCTAGTTTTAATTCCATGTTTTAGTTTGTTGTTATGTACGTTGAAAACTTGACGTACCAGTAATACACTGGAGATTTGGTTTTCACCATTACAGGGTATTGTTCCGGTTTTTGTGGAAAATTATTATTTTTTTTATATGTATGTGGGATGTGTTAAATTATGAAAGGGAATTGGTTTCATACCCCTTTGATGTGGAAGATATGTCTGTTATATATATATATATATATTATATATATATATATATATAATATATATATATATATATATATATATATATATATATATATATATATATATTACCCAAGAAACGAGTTGTATTGATCAATAAGAACACTGCACTAGCCAAGGAGTCGAACCTATGCTGTTTTGGCCAGCCGCATGACACTTTAGACCACTAGACCACACAATCCTTAACAATGGTGCATCCAGCCAAGCTAGATGTTGTACCCAACATCAAAGGACATTCGGTGGTGTGGACACCTCTGAGCTAATTTCATTCAATACCACTTGTTCCGTGGGTACAATAATACAATATACCGCTTATTGAGGTAGTACACAAACAGGGAGTAGAATGAAATCAGCTCAGAGGCGTCCACACCACCGTATGTCTTTCAATGGTGGGTACAACATCTAGCTTGGCTGGATGCACCGTTGTTAATGATTGTGTGGTCTAGTGGTCTAAGCGTCATGCGTTTTCTCTCACCATGAGGCGGACCAAAACAGCATGGGTTCGAGTCCTTGGCTGGTGCAGTATTGTTGTTGATGAATACCACTTGTTCCGTGGGTACAATTATATATATATATATATATATATATATGTATTTACTTTTCAACTTCCTCCTTCATAGTTCCTAATACAGTAATGCATCCTCTGGCATTTTTCTAGAATACTGGTAGAGAATTGTTTTCCAGCAGAGATACATGTCATGAAAGGGAGCTAAAAATTCATGGAAAGTGTCCCTTGTTTTAGCTTTTCCTAGTTATTATTGAAATGATAGGGGAAAATGTATGAGTTATTTGCATATACCTACTAACAGCACACATAATATGGGATTGTTAACGTTATGAAGCTTGAGCCATAGTTCTGACTGATATAAAATATATTGAAAGAGATGGTTGAGTTTGAATGAGTAGTGAAAGATGATTTGTTAAGTAGTGAAAGATGACTTGTCAGGTGTATCACAGTGAGTGAAACCTTTTGAATGAGTAGAAAGTAATATACAAATAACCCGCACATAGAAGATAGAAGCTAACGACGACGTTTCGGTCTGACTTTGTAAATGGTCCAAGTCGATAAATTAGACACATGTGCAACTCTCGGGTATCTTTATTGAGGAAACGTTCCGCCACACAGTGGCTTCATCAGTCCATACAAAGGAGAATCTTGAAGAACAGGAGGAGAATGAGGTAATCAGTCCCTCAACCTTGAGTCGATGTGGTCAGTCCATCAATCTTGAATAGAATGAAAAGTCGTCGTAAGCTCCTCTCTTCTATGTGCGAGTTATTTGTGTATTGTTCCAGTCACGGTATTGTGCCTTTTTTTTTTTGTTATTTATAGAAGGTCAACCGAATTATCAGTTGTGGAAAGAAAGTAACAGATTTTATACTGGAGAAGTTTAAGGTTAAGAATATAAGAGAGTTCTAAGTACACAGTCAAAAAGCAAGTTCCAATGAGTAGGGAAATGATGAGGAATTAGAGGAGAGAATCAGTTTCTTGGAGGAAGTAGATAAATGTGAGAAAACAGTTTTAGGGAAATCTTAATATAAAAGTTTGAGACAGTTTTGACAGGTGTAGTTGTAATGTTTGGAGTGCCAGGTGCCAGCCACAAGAGGCACCTTGAAGTGCACCATAGTTAGAAAGAAGCTTTCATATACATAAATCATATGGTTTAAATCAGCAACGTATAATTACCAAAGGTGAATCAACAGTTTAATTCCTTTCAAATTAGACAGTATGATCACTCTGATATTAGTTACTGTCAATAAAGTATGTAACTTATTATAGACTCTTGTGAAAGACAATGATATCAATATGAGTGAGTGTCTGAGCTGCCCAGGAACCTAAGGTGTCTCTCTGGCAAATATTTTCTGGTAATCCCATTCAAAATACTGGTTTAGAAGAAAATATTTTGTGCTTATTTATACTTTTACATATTTTTTTACTAGCTTCACTGATCGTTACCAATGTAATTATATATGTTAATCAAGATGCACTTCAACTAAAGTTTTAATGTATATTATTTTTCCTTCTAACAGTACGTGGAGATCAGGTTCAAGTCGTCTGCGCTGCGGAAACTGACATCAATCAACTTCATGTTGTACATGGTGTTTTATATTGCACTCGTTCTGTACGCTCCCTCACTCGTTCTCAGCTCTTTCACGAACCTTGCTTCTGCCATCTCGGTGGTTCTGATGGGTCTTATCTGCACCTTCTATGTCACCATTGTGAGTAAACTAAGATAGTCTCGTGATTATAGGATCACTATATCTCTAGAAGAATGACAATAGAGGGCAGAGGATGACTAGCTAGTATGAGCTTCACTATACTAGTAGCAGGAGTCTAAGAAATACGATAGATCAGCTATGATTATTTGCAAGTGCAGGTAACATAGATATTGTTGCTATAACAAACACCTGGTTCAACCTGAAAGATAAAGAAATATCTTCTGAATGCTACATACAAGGCTATAAACTATTCCACACTGATAGGGTCAGCAGGAAGGGTGGTGGAGTGGCGATGAATGTCAGAGATTATATAAATTGTTGTATTAGTCAATATATAAGATTTGAAGTATCGGACACAGAATCTGTTTGGCTACAGTTTCTCGAGGGTCGTGACAAATTAATTTAGGGTGTGATTTTTTAGGCCCCCAAATCTTGATAGGGAATGCAATAAGTAACTAGGGGACGAAATTCATAAGGCGTCTAGATAAGAAACTGCCATGTTAATGGGAGATTTAAACTTGAGACAAATTGGTTGGAACAAAATGACAGGAAATCTTGAGTCTAGTGACTTTCTTGATACAGTTCAGAATTACTTTTTAAAACAGTTTGTGACAAAACCACTTAGAGGAAACAATCTGCTTGACTTGGTTCCTTCCAACAGAGAATCACTAATTAATAATCTTGAGGTAAATGATAAGCTTGGAGAAAGTGATCACATATCACTTAGTTTCAATATATCAAAGAATTACTAAAATAACTACAATTAAGTCTGTCCCAGACATCCGTTTGGCCGATTTCATGAGATTCAGAAATTACCTGAGTGGGTTAAATTGGAATGACCTGACTATGGGCCAGGTAGGTGGTGTTGATTGCCAATGCGACGTTTTCAGAGCATAGTTCTAGCTGCCCAGGCAATTTACGTTCCAAGTGGGGAAATTAAATCAACCAAAAATGATCCCAAATGGATACACAATAGATTAAAACAGCACATTGGTCAAAAGAGAGGCATATATAAGCGTATCAAAAAAAGGGGATGGGAAGTTAAGAAATCAATATATTCAATTAAAGAAAGAAATAAAAATGGGAATAAGAAAAGCTAAGAGAGATTATGAGGTTACAGCAGCAAGAGATTCGAAGACTAACCCAGAAGGGTTCTTTCAGGTATACAGAAGTAAGATCACGGACAAGATTGGCTCACTTAAGAGTAACTCTGGTCAGATCACTGACACTGATAAGGATATGTGTGAATTTTTTAACTTTTATTTCCTCTCAGATTTTACTCAGGAAGATACTAGTGAAATTCCAGAAATAATAAATTGTGTAGAACAGGACAATAATAAACTTTGCACGATTAAGGTAACTAGTGACATGGTCCTCAGACAAATAGAGAAATTAAAACCTAACAAATCCCCAGGTCCTGAAGAACTGTAAAGAGGAACTTAGCATACCATATCACTACAAACTGGCATAGTGCCAGATAAGTGGAAAATGGCAGATGTAATACCTATTTACAAGGCAGGTGACAGGTCCTTAGGTTCAAACTATAGATCAATTATTTCTCTGACTGGTTAAGTCGTGACAGTCAGTAGAAGATTTCTTGCCTTATGCGACTTCCACATGTTAGAACTTTTTCCTCGCCTATTCTTCTTATACTCCTTGACTATAAGTCTTGGTATGGGGGAGTGTGAGGGAAAAGTTCAATAGATAGGAGTAGCGAGGGAGTATATAGTAACAATAGTTTCATTGCCGGCTACTTGTTAAGGTAGGGTCAGTCTAGCTCCCGCTATCCCTTCCCCTCCCTTTCCCCCCCCCCCGAAAGGTGACGTGTGGGGCTCTGGTCAAACAGTAAATCACTCGACTCACAGCTCCCAACACTACTGTAAGTACACGCCTGATCATATTTTAGTGGACTTATTGGTTGAAAGCTTCACTTTTGATCAATAATTAACTTAGTCCTTTCAGTCTTGATAGGTTAAAATTTTTTAATAATCACCACATCTTTTAGGTATTGTACTTATCATGGAGAGTGATTTCTTAAGCAGTGGGTAACCTGTCTCTCTTTACAGCTTGAAATGACAGAGAGGCTCACCTGCTAATCAACGAGTAGAAATTGAAGGAGACGGACTAACGTTCTGATGCGTCCCAATTTCTGATCCACTTACCTGTTTGTGTATGCTAGTAGCAGGATATAACCCCTAATCATTACAGTGGAAAAAAAACCTGCTTTCCTGTAATCTGGACGGATTATTGACGGCTAGAAAATCTGTGAAGAACGAGCCGGTGGGTTGTCATCAACACCTGCGAACCCCCCTCCCCCCCCCATCATCGGCAACGGCTACGATTTCAACAACACGCAGTGTCACCAACACCAGACACCCAAGTTTTATATATATATATATATATATATATATATATATATATAATATATATATATATATATATATATATAGAGGGGGCCACAGATATATCAGATCACTTTCTAGTTGTAGCTACACTGAGAGTAAAAGGTAGATGGGATACAAGGAGAATAGAAGCATCAGGGAAGAGAGAGGTGAAGGTTTATAACTAAAAGAGGAGGCAGTTAGGGTAAGATAAAACAGCTATTGGAGGATAGATGGGCTAATGAGAGCATAGGCAATGGGTCGAAGAGGTATGGGGTAGGTTTTAAAAATGTAGTGTTAGAGTGTTCAGCAGAAGTTTGTGGTTACAGGAAAGTGGGTGCAGGAGGGAAGAGGAGCGATTGGTGGAATGATGATGTAAAGAGAGTAGTAAGGGAGAAAAAGTTAGCATATGAGAAGTTTTTTACAAAGTAGAAGTGATGCAAGGAGGGAAGAGTATATGGAGAAAAAGAGAGAGGTTAAGAGAGTGGTGAAGCAATGTAAAAAGAGAGCAAATGAGAGAGTGGGTGAGATGTTATCAACAAATTTTGTTGAAAATAAGAAAAAGTTTGGAGTGAGATTAACAAGTTAAGAAAGCCTAGAGAACAATGGATTTGTCAGTTAAAAATAGGAGAGGAGAATTATTAAATGGAGAGTTAGAGGTATTGGAAGATGGAGGGAAATTTTTGAGGAATTGTTAAATGTTGATGAAGATAGGGAAGCTGTGATTTCGTGTAATAGGGCAAGGAGGAATAACATCTTGTAGGAGTGAGGAAGAGCCAGTTGTGAGTGAGGGGGAAGTTCGTGAGGCAGTAGGTAAAATGAAAGGGGGTAAGGCAGCCGGGATTGATGGGATAAAGATAGAAATGTTAAAAGCAGGTGGGGATATAGTTTTGGAGTGGTTGGTGCAATTATTTAATAAATGTATGGAAGAGGGTAAGGTACCTAGGGATTGGCAGAGAGCATGCATAGTTCCTTTGTATAAAGGAAAAGGGATAAAAGAGAGTGCAAAAATTATAGGGGGATAGTCTGTTGAGTGTACCTGGTAAAGTGTATGGTAGAGTTATAATTGAAAGAATTAAGAGTAAGACGGAGAATAGGTAGCAGATGAACAAGGAGGCTTTAGGAAAGGTAGGGGGTGTGTGGACCAGGTGTTTACAGTGAAACATATAAGTGAACAGTATTTAGATAAGGCTAAAGAGGTCTTTGTGGCATTTATGGATTTGGAAAAGGCGTATGACAGGGTGGATAGGGGGGCAATGTGGCAGATGTTGCAAGTGTATGGTGTAGGAGGTAGGTTACTGAAAGCAGTGAAGAGTTTTTACGAGGATAGTGAGGCTCAAGTTAGAGTATGTAGGAAAGAGGGAAATTTTTTCCCAGTAAAAGTAGGCCTTAGACAAGGATGTGTGATGTCACCGTGGTTGTTTAATATATTTATAGATGGGGTTGTAAGAGAAGTAAATGCGAGGGTCTTGGCAGAGGCGTGGAGTTAAAAGATAAGAATCACACACAAAGTGGGAGTTGTCACAGCTGCTCTTTGCTGATGACACTGTGCTCTTGGGAGATTCTGAAGAGAAGTTGCAGAGATTGGTGGATGAATTTGGTAGGGTGTGCAAAAGAAGAAAATTAAGGTGAATACAGGAAAGAGTAAGGTTATGAGGATAACAAAAGATTAGGTGATGAAAGATTGAATATCAGATTGGAGGGAGAGAGTATGGAGGAGGTGAAACGTATTCAGATATTTGGGAGGGGACGTGTCAGCGGATGGGTCTATGAAAGATGAGGTGAATCATAGAATTGATGAGGGAAAAAGAGTGATTGGTGCACTTAGAGTCTGTGGAGACAAAGAACTTTGTCCTTGGAGGCAAAGAGGGGAATGTATGAGAGTATAGTTTTTACCAACGCTCTTATATGGGTGTGAAGCGTGGGTGATGACTGTTGCAGCGAGGAGAAGGCTGGAGGCAGTGGAGATGTCATGTCTGAGGGCAATGTGTGGTGTGAATATAATGCAGAGAATTCGTAGTTTGGAAGTTAGGAGGAGGTGCGGGATTACCAAAACTGTTGTCCAGAGGGCTGAGGAAGGGTTGTTGAGGTGGTTCGGAATGTAGAGAGAATGGAGCGAAACAGAATGACTTCAAGAGTGTATCAGTCTGTAGTGGAAGGAAGGCGGGGTAGGGGTCGGCCTAGGAAGGGTTGGAGGGAGGGGGTAAAGGAGGTTTTGTGTGCGAGGGGCTTGGACTTCCAGCAGGCATGCGTGAGCGTGTTTGATAGGAGTGAATGGAGACAAATGGTTTTTAATACTTGAAGTGCTGTTGGAGTGTGAGCAAAGTAACATTTATGAAGGGGTTCAGGGAAACCGGCAGGCCGGACTTGAGTCCTGGAGATGGGAAGTACAGTGCCTGCACTCTGAAGGAGGGGTGTTAATGTTGCAGTTTAAAAACTGTAGTGTAAAGCACCCTTCTGGCAAGACAGTGATGGAGTGAATGATGGTGAAAATTTTTCTTTTTTCGGGCCACCCTGCCTTGGTGGGAATCGGCCAGTGTGATAATAATAAAAAAAAAAATATATATATATATATTAGCGTTGAATTCAGATATCATTTATATTTTTCATTTTCATTTTCTTTAAGGTAGGATCAAT